GAGCAAATGAGCAAACACCCACCTTTCCACCTTGAAGAGAAAGAAAAAAAAAACGAAACAAAGAAGATAACAAGGATAATTAACTGAAGTGAAAAACAGTTTCTTTTATGAGCAGCGTGATTCCAGAAGTTCTCAAGATTTCTTTGTGATCCAAGTTACTGAACTTGTACATAGCGATGGAGAGCTAGAGATAGTGGTTTACCTTAAAGCGTCTTGCAGAGATCATGTCCAGTACAGTACAACTTTCAACAAAAATCACCTTTTTGCCTCAGAGGCAAGCTTCTGCGAAAATATTTCAAGATCTGGCCTGATACCAGCTTAATGAAGTTCTATAATTTATCAGATCTTCTGTTTAGATTTTGGTGAGCGCTGTCTGTGCCTAATGCACCAAGATTTTTTTTTATCCTGAAGAGAGTCCAAAAATATAAAACAATGATTCCAGTAAGAGATGATGTTCTTTCAAACTGAATTTTGATAGAGATAAGGTTTAAGAACATGCATGCAGACCTAAATAAGTCCTAGAAATGTTACAGTACTTTGTGCATTTCCTGGCATTTTAATGATTCATTTGTGTTCAAACTGCTCTTTAATTAACCTACATTTTTCCTGAAGTCTTCCAAAGAGTAAGGAAATGGTATAGAAAAAATTTGTCTCAACGAGGCATTTACTAGACAGGGGTTAAATCCAAATCATTATACCCAAGTTTGTAAAAACCCAAATTCAAATCTACACCCTTTTTTTCTTAGCCCCCAGTATTAAGCTGGCATGTGAACTAGTTTTCTTTTCAGTAGCTTGACTATAGTGCACATGTGCAATCATTATACTATTTGCAAAGGATGAAGCTAAGCGTTGTTAACTTTGCTTTCAACCTACTATTTTTTTGCTTTTAGATAGCCAGTTGTGATTATGTGCCAAACTAGCCGTTCTACCTGAAACAAACAAAAACCCTGCCTCTTACATAGCAGTTTGGTAATCTTAGATAAGATTTGTGTTTGTTTGGTTAAACTATAAAGCTTCAGTAGCATTTAAGATTACAGAGCTTAAACAGTAAGCTATGCTGTATCCAGTTATCTACTAAATGCTTACAGACAATTCTGAGCTTCAAACAGAAATGTTAAAGAAAATAACAGTACCATAGCTAAGCTGCTATTAAAATAACACTGCTTGTATCAATGAATCTGTTTTTAAAGGACTGCCATACCATACTGTTCTATGAATTACTATCAAATGTGGCTAAAAAGTCACAGGCCTTGAGTAGATTCAGCAAGATCCAAAATTAATACCATGTACTGGAATCCCTTCTTCTCTTCCACCTTTTATATATTTATCAAGTATTTTCGTTCTTAGACTGAAATGTATGTATATAGTCATGTCCACATGTACACACGTGTATGGTACATCCAGTCAAACTCTGAACATTTCTAAGTGAACTCTACTTCTTACTGTAAGATACATTCCTTCCTGTAAATGACAGTACAGGATATGCGGTAGAGGAACAACATAGTCATCATATTTTATTCTTGAAGAGATGTTCCCGAAGTGTTATGGTAACAAGTTTCCTCCATTATACAGAATATTTCGCTTGTGCCACCTTTTCCAAAGACTTTTACCTAGCCTTCTCTGTTGTTTGTTCACTCATACCAAACCCAGCAACTAAGTTTTAGAAAACTGCTAAAAATCTGTATTTCATCTCTTCAACCCTGCCCTCTGTCCCTAGTCACAACAAGTAATTGTTTGGACAGAAAAATAATGCCTAGAGTGGCATTTTGTGAAAAGGTCCCCAAGCTCTGCATTTACAGACACCCTGGTGTATGAGCTAGGAGCTCTCCTCATCTTTACTGACAGTTTCCACATATGAAAATGTCAGAGCTGAAATTGCACTAGATTTCGGTACTGCATGAAGCACGTTAGTGCCAAACCTGAAGGACATATAGTTGGTGTCAAAAATGGGAAGAGCAAGACGACACAATCAAGTCACTTCAATGCATCAGCATGCTGATTATTAGTCTTATTGCTCAGACAAGGGCACTGGAAGGAACCAATTACCACTTTTTATTTTAGACCTCGAAGCCTTTTGAGAAATGATACGCTGCAAACCAGCTGGCACTGCATCAGTAAAGGATGTTAAGTAAGATCCCATAAATAACCTTCCACAGACCACTGTGCAGTATTCTATGAAAAGTGCATTTTAAACATAAATAAAATTAAGCACTTTATATAAGACAGAATGCTGGTACAGCAGTTTAGAAAGTTATATACATATGGACATCACAGCACTTACACTGTCAGGCTCCTGGCATGAACCACACGACAGTCGGTATCACTGGCAAGGCACTACCCCTTATTACAGTAAGCAAAAGAATAGCAATTAACATAAACTTAGGAAAGGTTCTCAAACACTGAAGTCCTTTACTGTAATAATGACATGCCTACGGGAGGCAGGAGTATTATATAAGCTCGCCATCCAGTTCTAATCTATAAGAGAAAGGCATAATTTTTGAAAGGAACAAGCCCACGTAGGGACTGAAAATTTAAGAGAGTGACTGGACTGCTAAACTCACAGATTTACCATTATCACCACCTCGACTTCCTAGCCTCTCTTTCCTGAGGAGCCTTTATGCATTGCAGCACTCCAGTCTTGTGAGCAGTCCCACCATCTCTCTATAATCCCCAGGAGGCCACAGCTCTGCTGCCGCACATGGACTTCTAATCCCCCATTTGTCTCCTCTGATGTATACAGGTGTCAGGCTGCTTTCACAGGGAAAGTGCAAAAGCCTCTGGTATTAGACTATTCCCCACACTCTTCTCTGATCCTCATGCTTTCAGTTCTCTTCAGGTTATGGTCACTCTGCCCTGATATCTGTAGTTTAAAACACTCCTCACTGGGTTAGCAAGCCAGTTGGCAAAAATGCTCTTGCCCTACTTTGCAGATGGATCTTATGCCTGCCTAGCAGTACCCAATCACTTAAAAAGAGGACCCTGTGGTTGTAAAAGACAAAGCCCTGCTTGTGACACCAACTATGCAGCCAAGTGTTGACTTGCTGGAGAGCTCTTTTCCTACCTGAATGTTTCTCCTTCACCGTCAGGATCAAGGAAAACACCACCTGGGCCCCCAATGCCATGTAGCCACTCTTGATATATTCATGGTCACCTCTTTCAATAACATGAGAACCCATACAGGTAAGTGGGAAAAGGCAGTGTTCTCAATCTGGACAAACCCTAGCAGTCTCTCCACAGCCTCCTGGACCTCAACCCAAGGGAGGCAACAAAACCTTTCAAGACACCAAGTTGGGTTGGCAGACAGATACTTCAAGAGGGAATGCAACAGGAGGCAGTGTCCAGTGATGATGCCCATTTTTCTTTTGATGCAGACACTTGATTTAGGCTCAGCTGACTCTGACACCACCCCAGACTGAGCTTGTTCTTGCTCACCCATTTCCGGGGCACTAAAACTGTTCTCTAGCTCCAACTTGTGTTGCCAGAAGTCACAAGTTTCCAGCCTTCCCTACCATGGGAATCTTTATCCTTATCCTCTACTGCTTGAAGCATAGTCTCTAACTGTCCCTCCTTCCTTGCACTGTGGGATTTGGGCTCTCACCTCTGAAGGATATCTGTGAAGACCCTGTCAATCTCGCGTTCACTATCCTTGATGGTACGCAGTCTGCTCATCTCCTCCTGCAGCTCCTTCACCTCAGTACCTCAAAGAAAACACATCTCCCACAGGTGAGGCCACCATCACGCCCAGCCCCAGGAAGAGGCACCAGGCACTCCCTGCAGCCTAAGACCTGGAAGGCAACATCCTCTCTAGTGCTATCGAGGTTGAAGACTCATATGTGCCAAGGACAACTGCTCCAGCAACCGTCTCCCTGTGGAACGTCACCATTGTCACTGTACAATGTCTCAAGCAGTCCCACACCACCTATAGCAGAGCTTCGAAGCCCCTTTGCACCCCTGCATGTTTCTGTTAGCTCTGTTCTGGGAGCTGCAACCAAAAGCTTGGATGAAAACAGAGTATTCCAGCTATACCACTCTTCCAGTAAGATTTGTGAAAATATACAAAATTCCTAAAATGCTTAACACACTAACTTCATGATGCAACTTCGTATTATGTTATGGTACAAGACTATATAGATTTATGATTTAGAAACATGTACAGGCACTGCGAGTTAGCAAGGTTTCCCCTAGGAAACAGAACCTTTCTGTGTGTGGTGTCAGACCAGATAGGACACAACCAGAAGTGACATTAATTGGGATGATTTGGGCGAGTGGGATAACTTTGCAGTCTCTTGTGGAGGCAAGAGGGCTTCTCCCATTTGTAAATGTACTGCCTACTATATTCAGTCCATGTTATAAAATTAAAATGTAGATCAAAGAATGTGATTGAAATATTCAGGAATGTACTTCATAGTGTATTGACTTATGACACTGTGTATCTTAGAGAAGTCCTAATACGAAGTCAAACTTCTTCAAGACTTTTAATCAGATTTAAATCAGCTGTACTATAAAATCCTCAGCAGTATCAGATATACTGGGCAGCCAGTGGAACTTGCAGAAGTACTGTCTGAAGAACTTCAGCATACACACTATGGAACAATACTAAAAGCTTCCTCAGATACTGGTAGGACAAAAACTTTGTTCATAAAAAGCTTAAATAAAAATACATCACAGAAACATATGAAGTCACCCACCTACATTCATTCAAGAGGTTATTACCTTCGTAGCAGACACTATCACAGCCAGACGCAACTACATTCAGCAGAATGATGTGGAAAGGATTACAGAAAGCATGTCAGAGCAGATCTTATTCAGAACAGTGACTGAGCTAGCCTTTAAGTGAAGAACCCACGCATTTTCAACATAACTTATGAAGAGAAAACATCCAATGGCAACATTAGCCCCACCTTCAGTATGTCCACTCTAGAACTGTTTTCTATTGCAAGCCACATTAAAAAAGATTATCTTTCCATTTTTATCCAATTGAAAAAAAAAACATACTGTACCTCACAGTAAAATCATAGGAGCAAGAGGCCAATAAGGTTGCATGGAATGGTGAAAACTGCAAGAAAACAAAACAGAACAACTTTTAAAGTAAAAACATTCTGAACGTATACAGACTTAATGTAAGTACAAAGTTACTGAAGTTTAACTATTTAAACTGCCTTGGTAGGTACCACATCATGCTGCAACAAGACAGACTACATAAACAAATTTCCCCGTGATGCTTCTAATTACAAGGAATGCTTTATGGGATCCTGGTTTGATTTGATTTCATTACAGCAGTGCCAAACAACCCTGCTGTAAAGTTAAGAAGTTTTAGGACAGTCATATAAACAGTCATTAAATTCTGCTTTTGGCTGACAAGCTGAGTATCATGTCATTATATAAAGCGAGTTTCAGAAAAGCTATGTGACCAGTTTATTATTTTCAGAGAGAGAAAACTTGTGCCATACAGCAGGGAACGTAAAATATATTACTGTCATCAATTCCATGTTCTAAAATTTTGAAATTATTTACAGAAATGGGAAAATTGGAGATAAGTTGAAAAACTGAAGGCAGTATAACATCACTTCATAATTCCCCCCTCTCCTCCAGGGCATTTTACGGGGGACATTCTTCTAGGGACTCTTGCAGACAGGTCTAAGAACTACAGCAGTAAGGATGCAGTTAGGCGAAAATTGTTCACCTCGGCTCCAGCTTTTCAGCAACCCTCAGTTTCCAACTATTTTAAGGTCTGTATTTCTCAATAGGAAATACAAGTCACTGACATAACTTCAGTTTGAAATACAAGTCCCCCACATCATGGTTCATAGGTAAGATTCTTCCTGCAAGACTTCCAACATTATTCACAGCTACTACAAAGTCAAAAGTTAAGCCTGGGCTATTGCCACAACTGCCCAAGTTGCCAAGGGAGCAGTGTATTTTGTTGCCTGCCGAACTCTGCTGACAGAGTTCTCTTTACTACAGCAGAATTGAGGGATGGGCATACTTGAACTTTAACCTCCCCAGATTTCCTACAATTTTTCGGGGGGGGGGGGAAGTCACAACAAAACACCTTTTTCTTCTGCACCTCAGGAATATGAATAATGAAGGGGAAGAAGTCTGATGGGCAACAAAAACCAATGGCACATTTCCCACGTGCACCCTTTGCATCTTTGTCCACACAGTTTAAGATAAAGCAAAAACACCCAGAGATAAAGCAAACACCTTGTCAAAGCTGAAAAGCTTTGTCATTAACCTTCAGTATCCTAGAAACTTACCTAAGCAAACTCTTATCAAAATACTTAGCAGAGTGCTACACACAAAAGTTGAAAGAATTTACATAATGTCTTTCTGCTACAAAGAGAATATTTTAAAATTCTGTTCCACTTAACTGTAAGATACTACAATTTTATCATCTGAACAGTTGTATATAGACAGAAGACACCAACGTATCATCCAGTCTGATGTCCAATATTTCACAGATCATTCAGGATGAGGAAAAGGCTGAGGTACTCAACGCCTTCTTTGCCTCAGTCTTTAACAGGCAAACCAGTTATCCTCAGGGTACTCGGCCCCCCGAGCTGGAAGACAGGGACAGCGAGCAGGATGAACACCCCATAATCCAAGAGGAAGCAGTCAATGACCTACTACGCCACCTGGATGCTCACAAGTCTATGGGGCCAGATGGGATCCACCCAAGAGTGCTGAGGGA